ATGGCCAGGACTGAGCCGAGCGGAATTCAGAAGCCAGGAGCTTCATCCAGAACTCCCAGATGAGTGTCAGGGGCCCAGGAACTTGCACCGCCGTCTGCTGCCTTTTCCAAGTCATGAGCAGGGAGCTGGATGGGAAATGGAGCAGCCAGGACTTGAACCAGTGTCCATACGGGATGCCAGCGTCACAGGTGGTGACTTTACCCACTACGCCACAACACTGGCCCCTCAACATGAGTTTTTGAGGAGACATTCAAACCATAGCAATAGAAAACCAAAATTCAAAGGACAACCTGATGAAGAAACTGGAAAAGCCCGTGAAAGAGTGGCCACAGAGGTAGGAACAGAACCTAGAGAAAGCAGTATTACAAGCCAAGAGGATCACAAAAGTAGAATAAGGGGGTAAGTGTGGTGGCACAGTGGGTTAAATCCCCACTTAGGATGCCCACATCCCATACAGAAGTGGCTGGCATAAAGTCTCACCTCCACTTCTGACCCAGCTTCCTGCTAATGCACACCCTAGGAGGCAGTAGATGATGGCTCAAGTACTTGGGTTCCTGCCACCTACTTGGGAGACCTGGATGGAGTTCTTGGCTCCCGGTTTCAACCTGGCCCAGCTCCAGGTCTGGCTATCGTGGGCACCGAGGAAGTGAACCAGCAGATAGATGATCTCTCTTCCCTCTGTCATTTGGCCTTAACAACAGATAGATACAGGGCCGGCGCTGCGGCATATCAGGTAAAGCTGCCGCCTGCAGTGCCTATATCCCACATGGGTACCAGTTCAAGTCTCGGCTGCTCTGTTTCCTTTTAAGCTCTCTGCAATGGCCTGGGAAAGCAGTAGAAGATGGCTCAAGTCCTTGGGCCCCTGCACCCACATGGGAGACCTGGAAGAAGCTCCTGGCTTCTGGCTCCGGATCAGCACAGCTCCGGCCATAGCACCATCTGGGGAATGACCTGGCAGATGGAAGATTTTCTCTTTCTCTCTCTCTTCCTCTGCCTCTCTAACTCTGCCTTTCAAATAAACAAATAAATCTTTTTAAAAATAGACAGATACATACATACAAACATACAGAATGGAATACCTGGGTAATGCCTCTAAAGATCTTGATGCCCAGATGCTCCTGAACCCTCTGAAGCTGCAGACCTGGCCCAGCATCCAGCACTCCTCTCCTCCTTGCAGACAGGACAGAGGCCCGGTCCTGCAAGACTGCATGTGCCCTTGTCCCCTCTCACAGTCAGCCTTTATCTCCCTTCTGGTCTCTGAACATAACTAGGATTAATTCACCTCACAGCCCAGTAGGGGACATACTGGGCCTGAAAAGGGAGGAAAGGGACTATATCCCAAAGGAATTGCAAGAACTACCCAAGCCTGTGAAGGCAGGAGCTGGGAAAGTAACAGAAGACTGCATCCTGAGGGTGCTTATCAACAAGACCAAGTTGTAGGACTGGATAAGGAAGAGCATTCATAGGGGAACACTTTTACGAGACACAGGATCTATCACCTGGCCAACCACTGCAAGATTTTCAAGTTTGCCAGTACACTATCATTTAAAACATGGGAAACTGTACAGCCCACATGAGGTAAAAAAGCTCAGAGCTGCCAAGTCGGATGGTATAGGAAGGGACTAGAAAGCTCAGAATTGAGCAACTGGAGTGGATGTACAAGGGCAGGAAACCCACTAAATGATTATGTTCCTTGGGAATACCTGAGGCTACACCATTTACCAAGGCCACAAGGAATGTGTCGGCAAGAGGTGCCCCAGCATCTGTAAAAGTGCAGTGTTGCTTCTATGCAGGCCAGGGCTAACTGCAGGACAGGCTGTTACAAGCCTAGGCTTTAACAGCAAGGAGGTGATTGGACCTTGAAACTAGGGACCAGGTGGTGGCACTCACGGCCATGAGCTAGGTAGATGCCAATTATTATGAATGGAAAGGTCATTGTGACATCAAGGACTGACCATCAGAGAACTATGCAGATGATTAATAGAACACAGCACCTCCTGGGGCAGAACGGATGGCAGCCAACAAGGGTCTTCCACAGCTTACAGTCACAAGAAATCAAGAACAAGGGGTCAGAGGACCGAGGGCAGGGGGCAAGCATTTGATGCAGCAGTTAACTCTCTGCTTGGGATGTGGCAGCCCATATTGGAGTGTTTGGTTTGAGCTACCCTGCTTCCAATCCAGTTTTCTGCTAATGTACACTCTGGGAGACAGCAAATGATGGCTCAAGTACTTTGGTCCCTGCCATTGGTGGGAGACCAGATTGAGTTATGTGCTTCTTCCTTAGGCCTGGCCCGGCCTCAGCTGTTGTGGGTATTTGGGAAGTGAACTAGCAAATGGCAAATCTCTTTTCTATGCCTTTTGGGGGGAGGGAGGGACACTGCACACACAAAAAAATCAGAATCAGAGATTTCACTAAAATAACATAACTTTTGGAGACACCACCGTGGCATAGTGGGTAAAGCTAGCACTGGCATCCCATATGGACACCAGTTCAAGTCCTGGCTGCTCCACTTCTGATCCAGCTCCCTGCTGATGCACCTAGGAAAGCAGTGGAAGACGACCTAAGTGTTTGGGCCCCTGCACTCACATGGGAAACCCAGATGAAGCTCTTGACTCAGCCCTGGCTGTTGTGGCCATTTGGAGAGCGAACCAGTGCATGGAAGACCTTCCCATCCTCCCTGCCCCCACCTTACTGCCCCATAACTCTTAAATAAATAAATAAAAATCTTTAAAAAAAGAAACATACCTTTCTTAATTCCAGTCCAGGGTCGTTATGACTTTCTTTGATGTAACACATTTAAAGAGGGTCATCACAAAAGGGCTCCAGCTTCAGGGTGGCTAGAAATAGGAGGGCTGGCCTGGTCATCTTGGGTCATCTTGGCTCAGTTCCAATAGGTTGGGCTAGAGCAGTCTAGGTGTTGGAAAGCTATTCTGGAGTACACAGTTAGCTGGCCTTTATTTAGGTTTTTTTTTCTACCATAATCTTGATGATCACCCCTTTTCAAGTAAATAGCAGCAAACTGGACATCCGGGTTAAGTGTTTAGTCCCAGGGATTTTTCTATATTGACTTTTTTTTAATTATTATTTTAAAGCATGCACATTTGTGATATGTATTGTAACTTGGCAGAAAAAATAAAATTTATACAGATACTCTTTGACTTATGATGGGGCTAAATTCCCAACATAAATGGAAAATATCCTAGTGGACCAGTGCTACGGCATAGTGGACTAAGCTGCCACCTGTGGTGCTGGCATCCCATATGGGCGCCAGTTCCTGTCCCAGCTGCTCCTCTTCCAATCCAGCTCTCTGCTTATGGCCTGGGAAAGCAGAAGATGGCCCAAGTGCTTGGGTCCCTCACTAGCATGGGAAACCTGGAAGAAGCTTCTGGTTCCTGGATTCAGATCAGCCCAGCTCCAGCCATGCAGCTATTTGGGGAGTAAACCAGCAGATGGAAGACCTTTCTCTCTGTCTCTCCCTCTCTAACTCTACCTCTCAAATAAGTGAATAAATCTTTTTTAAAAATGAAGTAGGTTTAGTACAACTAACCACTGAGCATCACAGCCTAGCAACACAGTAGACCAGAGGATATTAGTTGTTCACCCTCATGATCCTGTGGCTTACCAGGAATGGGGTTCCCTGCCACTTCCCAGCACCGTGAGAGTACCAAACCACACATCACTGGCCCTGGAAATGATCAAGACTCAAAATCCCAAGTATGGTTTCTACGGAACTGCTTTCTCATCAACATAAAGCAGAAAAATTGTAAGTCAAATTACCCTAAATCAGAGGACTGCCCATCGAGCAAAAGGAGAAAAAGAGAGACATAGTAAGGACTCAACAACTCTAGGGGGATGGGGCCTCATTCCAAGTTCACTACCAGAATAAATGAATGGATGGACTCAAAAAAGAGATCTGAGACCAATTGCAAAATACTATTTCTTATGCTCTCTATATTCCACAGCCCGCAAAGAAATCACTTTTGGAGCAGACTTTATCAGATGATCTCAAACTCAAGTATAGAACCGAACTTATTTCCTACAAACACCAGCCCCTCAAACCTTCTTCTGAGGTATTTTTTTTAATCTTGATGAATGGCTCTAAATGAGGATCTGAACATCACCCATGTCTGAGGCCTCTCCTTCCTTACTCCTCCCTCAACTAAGGTCCAAAACCTGCAGGGTCTGCCTTCCAAATGACCCAGAATCCATCCTCTCCTCTCCATTCCCACTGCTGTTTCCTTAGTTACAGATACCATAATCTCAGGCTAAGAAGACACCAACAGCCCAATTGGTCTCCTTGCCCATAGTCTCTCTGCCTTCTAACCCATTAGTCACGCTGCAGCCAGTCATCTTTTCAAAACTCATGTCGTTCTTCAGGTTAAATCTCAATACTAAAGTTCACACTCCCTAATATAGCTAAATAGGCTCTGAATGATGTGGCCGCGGCATCCCATCCTTGCCTCATCTCTCTCATCATCCCCACACAGTCTGCTCCAGCTACAATGAACTTCCAGTACCCTGAACCCAACTTTATTATTATTGCTAGGTCTTTGCCCACGATGCTCTCTGCTTGGTACACCCTTCCTCCACTCAGGTACATTCTCCTCTGCCGTCACTTGCACTGCTCAGGTAGGCAGGCTCCATCCCCCAAGCGGTGCCCTCGGCCATAAAGCTGTTTTCCAAGGGGCGGCCCCTTAAGTAGCCCTCCACACTCCATCAGTCTCAGACAGTCGAAAGGCTGGAGACGCATGAGACTCTTCCGAGAGGATTCGGGTCCTTTCGACTTCAGCCAGGACAGCAAAGAAGCCCACCTAGCTTCGGCCCAGCAGCACAGGAACAACCTGTACTTCCCGGACGGCGACAGCATGCAACCGCAACCCTCTGCCCGGAACTCAACCGGTCGCGCGGCCCCGCCTTCCACGCTGCGTAGGGGGCGGGATGGGGCGGGGCGCCGGGCTCTGGCGAACGGCTTGCGCCGGGCGGGGGGCGGGGCCAGGGGCGGAGCGGAGCGCGCATGCGCGGTCGCCTTTGTGTGGGTCGAGCGGCGGCGGCGGCGGCGGCAGTGGCGGTCCCACTGGCAGGCGGGCAAGAGGGGAGTCCGGGCGGCGTCCGGCGTGGGAGCCGGGGGACCACCATGGTAAAGAAGCGGAAAGGCCGTGTCGTGATCGACTCGGACACAGAGGATAGCGGCAGCGACGAGAACCTGGATCAGGTGGGGGCAGGCCGCGAAGGCGCGGGCCGGCAGAGCCGGAGGGCTGAGTCGGGGCCACGGGATCCGGGAGCCGACCGGGCCCGGAGCCTCCTGGCCTGAGCGTCCGGTCTGCTCCGTTCCCTGACCGCGGTGCAGCCCCCTTTCCTGTGTTCCCCGCAGCGTCCGAGGCCCTCAGAGTCCGGCCCAGGCCTGGAGACAGAGCCCCGAGGACTTGGCGCCTTGGGCGGGGAGGCGGGGCAGGGACGGAGATGATGGGCCTCGGGCTCAGGGGTTCCGAAGGGGGCCTCGGGGCTCTGGGGTACCGAAAAGGGGCCTCGATCTGCCGGGGCCGCATCGGGGCGACGGGCTATAGGCCAGGCGCTCGGGGCCCGGGAGATAGGAAGTATCTCCCGCCAACCCCGGGTAGGCTGGAAGGTTTTGGAGGAGGTGCAGTGGTGACCGTGGGGCGGTGCGGGGGAGAGGGCCGAGAAGGTGCAGACTCTGAAGATGAAGTTTTTCAGACAACGGGTGTGGGCAGAGGAGGGACACTCGTAAACGTTCCGGGGAGCTTCTGTCGTGCTTCGCAAGGAAGACTTAGTGTGGGCATGAGTCTGAGGGCTAGGGTCGTTTGTGGTTGCAGTGGGTCCCTGCTGGGATGTCAGAGCGAAGAAGACACTCCTGGGAGGAGGGAAGAATCGGAGAACTATGTAGGACGGCGTGGAGGGACTGTGGCCCGGGACTCTTGGCATTTTTCATGCAGCATTCCAGAATTCTTTCTTACTTGGAGATCGTGCAGGGAACATTAAAAGTAACTTTTGGCCTCAGTGTCTTGGGATAGCCTGAACTGTTTCTATACTCTAGAAAGTACTGTAGGAAGCTGTCCTTTGTAGCATTGCTTTGAGAATACCATGAGATACAAAGATAGCTTCTCCCGTGTTTAAGGAGCAAATGGTACAAAGAAAGAATGTACAAGAGATAGTAGCTTTTTAAGTTGAGTAGAGAGAGTACTGAAATTGGAATCTGAAGATTTGAGTTCTAGACTGGGCTTACGCTGCTTTCTAGCTGAGTATCTTCAGTCTTCACTATAAAATCAAGATATAACGATCAGCCTTGTGTGTCTAATTAGGTTATTGAAAGAGCAAATGTTTGTAAGGATTAATATTAGGGCAAGCTTTTGCAACCCATAAATATTTTGTATGAATTACCTCTTGGCCTTTGTTAGGCCAGAGGTCCTAGGACTGACGTCTTAGTGCCCAAAGAAGAGTATTTTAAAGAAGGAAGAACTGGAGAGGTGTTGAAGAAAATGGTAGTGAGTGCATTTTTTTTTTTAAGATTTATCTTTTATTGTTTTTGAATGGCAGAGGTGGAGAAGTAATGAGTTCTTGGAAGGCTATCGGAAGAATAGAAACCTTTTTTTTTTTTTTTAAGATTTTTATTTATTTATTTGAGAGGTAGAGTTACAATCAGTGAGAGGCAGAGACAGAGAGAAAGGTCTTCCTTCCGTTGGTTCACTCTCCAGATGGCCTCAACGGCCGGAGCTGCTGATCTGAAGCCAGGAGCCAGGTGCTTTTTCCCAATCTCCCATGTGGGTGCAGGGACCCAAGGACTTGAGCCATCCTCTACTGCTTTCCCAGGCCACAGCAGAGAGCTGGGTTGGAAGAGGAGCAGCTGGGACTAGAACTGGCACTCATATGGGATGCTGGCGCCGCAGGCGGAGGATTAACCTGCTGCGCCACGGAGCCAGCCCTAGAAACCTTATATTGAGGATAGGAATTGAAAGAGTTGAAAGTGTTCTCATTCAAATGCTCCTGATATTTATAAAAATGTCAAAAGTATATTCTTGTCTGTAAAAAGTTTGGTGGGTAATTTTAGACCTACAGTTAAGAGGATTAGAATCTATTTCTTACTATTTTCTGTTATACAAATATAGTTGTTTCAGATAATAACTTTAGTTATCACTTACATGGATCCTAAGGTCCAATTCAACATTTAAAGTGGAATTTAATGTGAAATTTGTAGCTAATACCTAGTACAGTGTAACTGCAGTTTCTTTTATTTTTATAAAGATTTATTTATTGGCCTGCGGCTCACTAAGCTAATCCTCCACCTTGCGGCGCCGGCACACCGGGTTCTAGTCCCGGTCGGGGCGCCGGATTCTGTCCCGGTTGCCCCTCTTCCAGGCCAGCTCTCTGCGATGGCCCGGGAGTGCAGTGGAGGATGGCCCAAGTGCTTGGGCCCTGCACCCCATGGGAGACCAGGAGAAGCACCTGGCTCCTGTCGTCGGATCAGCGCAGCGCGCTGGCCGCAGCGGCCATTGGAGGGTGAACCAACAGCAAAGGAAGACCTTTCTCTCTGTCTCTCTCTCTCACTGTCCACTCTGCCTTAAAAAAAAGAAGAAAAAAAAAATGGAGATTGATGATTAGTAAGTGGTAGAGTTGAGATCTAAAGATGCAGAGAGAGCGCGAGAGTTCTTCCATCTGATGGTTCACTCCCCAATTGGCTGCAACAGCCAGGTGCTTCTTCCAGGTCTCCCATGTGGGTGCAGGGACCCAAGGACTTGGGCCATCTTGTACTGCTTTTCCAGGCCATAGCAGAGAGCTGGATTGGAAGTGGAGCAGCTGGGTCTCAAACCAGCACCCGTATGGGATGCCGGCGCTTCAGGCCAGGGCGTTAAACCGCTGCACCACAGCGCCAGTCCCGTTTAACAGCATTTCAACTTCTTCCTCTTCAACTTCTCATTGATGTTCTTGTCACCAGGTAGTAACCAAAATTCAAATTCCCTTTCCTTGCACATCCAGAGGCTACCATTGCTTTCCACCATCTTTGTTCGGTATTGTGCTAGGCTCTTAGAGGAGTCACAGAGAAAGGTCTTTGCCCTCTGGATGTTTTCTTTTTCTTTTTTTTTTTTTTTTTCTTTTTTAAATTTATTTATTTTACTGGAAAGAGTTACACAGAGAGAGGAGGAGAGGCAGGGAGAGAGGTCTTCCATCTGCTGGTTCACTCCCCAATTGGCTGTAGCGGCCGGAGCTGTGCTGGTCCGAAGCCAGGAGCTTCTTCTGGGTCTCCCATGCAGGTGCAGGGGCCCAAAGGTTTGGGCCATCCTCCACTGCTTTCCCAGGTCATAGTAGAGAGCTGGATCGGAAGTGGAGCAGCCAGGGCTCGACCGGCACACATGTAGGATGCCGGCACCTCAGGTCAGGATTTTAACCCACTGTACCACAGCACCAGCCACAGCACCAGCCTCTAACTTCCTAGGTTTTTTAAAACTCAGAACTTAGTTTGAGAATTTGAAGGATTTTCTTTTAGCAGGTGACCTAATATTGATCCTCTTAAGTTACCCACACCCTTTCTTCAATATTTTTGAGTGGCAGGAAATTTGCTGTTGGTGCCTATTGGGGAAGGAAAAAAAAACAGAATTTGAGGCATGCCTCTGGGCTTTTTACCTCCTCATGTACTTGCATTGAGATAATGTATCACTCTTTATGGAATATTTATGCATTGGATCCTATAAAATGAAAAGCATCTAAGACAATAAAGAGTTCTCTATTCAGATCAGTTCAATTCAGTATTTATAAAAATGTTACTCTGCCTTTCTGAGGAGGAAAAAAAAGAACTAGTAGACACATTAAAATACTTTATGGTTTCCATTCATATTTTAAATGGTGTTTATGCTGTTATGGCCTGTTTTTCTCTGCTCATCCAACTTGAAGTAGCAGTAATTAAGTTTGTCTTTAGGAGAATAGGCCTCCTAAGTATTTTCTAGGAACTATTTTTAGATATTATGTGTAAAATATATCTTTGTTATGAAGTATATTACTATAAACTTTTCCCATAAAATGGGAAGTTTAGAAGTTGTGCTTCTCATTAGTGTAGACTTCCTCACATTGGTCAGAGGCAGATTTTGAAGAATATGATGAATTTCTGAAAAGAGTTATTGTTAACTTGTGAAGTTTTAAATTTGTGTCGTAATGTTGCAGCTAGCTTGGTGTAACTTATTTGCTAATTTCACTCAGCTTTTGGAAGCTTTGGTAGCTTTTAGGAAAAATACAAAACCTATCTCAAACACCGGTTCTCTTGGTATATTTATTATTCCCCAAATAGTAGATTGTTTGTTCGTCTTTCAACAACTGTGTTAGATAGTGCTAGGCACAGTGCTATTGGGTGAATAAAACGGAAGCAGTTTCTACCTTGAAGGAGTTTAGAGTAAGGGGTTGGGGGGAGGAAGAGAGAGAGAGAAAGGAAAAGGAGGTTAGGAGACTGAGAGTAAAGAGAAAGGCAGTTAGTGTTCATGGTTGAGGGCTGTAGCACCCTCATGAAACTGAAAGAAGTGCAGAGTGACTGTACGTAACAAGTTGGATAGAGTGGTGCCAATGAAGCTTCAGAGGTAGGTTGTTTGACTATTTGAGGGTAGAGAAGTCAGTTTAGTAGATTACAACCAGCATTACAAATAAAAGGGAAACCTAATCAAATGAAAGCATCACGTATGTCATAATAGTAAAGATGAGGTGTATCTTCTTACTGTGGGCTGAGGTTACAAAGTTTTAAAGCCATTGGCAGGGCCACTTGTTAAGACGCTGCTCCTGATTGCAGCTTCCTGTTAATGCAGACTCTGTGAAGCAGTAGTGATGGCTCAAGGAGTTAGATCCCTGCCACCTTCATAAGAGACCAGACTTGAGATCATGGCTTCTGGCTTCAGCCCCATCCCAGCCATTGCAGGCATTTGAGGGGTGAACCAGCAGATGGAGATCTGTCTCTATATCTATATTTCTGTCTGTATCTCTCAAATAATTTTTTAAAAGATTTATTTATTTGTTTGAAAGGCAGAGTTAGCGAGAGAGAGATATCTTCTATCCACTGATTCATTCCCCAAATGACCACAATGGCCAAAACTGTACTGATTTGAAGCTAGGAGCCAGGAACTTCTTCTGGGTCTCTCACATGGGTGCAGGGTTCCAAGTACTTTGGGCCATCTTCCCCTGCTTTCCCAGGCACATTAGCAGGGAGCTGGATGGGAAGTGGAG